TTGGCATAAGGAGACAAATGAAAACCAGGATATAACTGTTCAAAATATGTGGGACCTCACACCAGTCAGATGGGCCATCCAGAAGAAATAGCAAGTGCTGGCAAGGATGTGGAGAAAAAGGAACCCTCTTACCCTACTGATGGGAATGTAAATTGGAGCAGCTACAATGGAAAGCAGTCTGGAGGTTCCTCAAAAAACTAAAATAGAAATAACAAATGACCCAGTAATTCCAGTTTTTGGAATTTACACAATGAAAACAATATCCCTGATTCTAGAAGATATATGTACCCCTATGTTTATTGCTGCACTATTGACAACAGCCAAGATATAGAAACAACCAAAGTATCCATCCATAGATAAATGGATTTTAAAAAATGCAGTACATATACACAAAGGAATATTATTCAGCCATAAAAAAATCCTGCTATTTGCCACAATATGGATGGACCTAGAAGTTATTATGCTAAGTGAAATAGCCAGGGGGAGAAAGACAAATGCCATATGATTTCACTTATTTGTGGAAACTAAAGACAAAACAAAACAAAATTAACAAAATAGCAGTAGATCCACAGACTCTGAGAAGTGACTGGTGGTTACCATAGGGGAGAAGTTGGGGTGGATGGGTAGCATGGGGAGGGGACAAAGGGACACCAATATACTCAAATATAATATAAGTTGGTCACAGTGATCATAGCACAGCATGGAGAATATAGTCAATGATTCTGTAACATTTTCCTGTGTTGACAGATAGTAACTGCACTAGTTGAGGTGAGGATTTAATAATATAGGTAACTGTTGAACCACCGTGTTATATACTTGAACTAATACAAGAGTGTGTATCAACTACTCTTTTGAACATCTCTATCAACTACTTCAAATCTTTAAAAAAAATCCAAGAGTTTTCACAGGGATTTCACAACTAATTTATTAATAGAATGGTAAATTTTATGTTTTATATATATATATATGTTTTACCAAAACAAAAAAAAATTTTACACAAACACACACATACATATACATTTGCCATTCTTAACTCATGACTCCTACAAAAAGAAGCCTTGGGGCAGATCTGGCCTATAGACATAGTTTGCCGACCCCTGTCTTTGACAAAACCAACATAACTTTCTAACAAGAAAGTAGGTAACTTGTGTGTACTAAAGATAAGAATATATATTTGTATGTGTGTGTATGCAGGCACATATTTAATGTGATAATATTATTGCAAATAATTCAGAATTAGAGCTAGTCTTTTAAGGATAATTAATGAAGTACAAAATACAGTTGAAACAGGAGAAATATCTGATATGTACTACAAGTAGTTTTTAAAATCAATTAATGAGACACAGAAGCAGATACTCTGTGCCAGAAAAGATGGTGTCATTGTTTGTGAAAGTGAACTAAGAGGAACCCATATATTTATTTGCTCCTCTACCTACTTGGGCAACTAATATGTTTAATATTGGGAAATTGACAGTACATTTCATTTAGAGCATTATGCAATTTAAGTCATTTCAGTACACATTATCTCATTTAGGCTTCAAATTAACCACAAGACGTAGAAATATATATACAGCTTGTAATATAATGAGTCATAAGAAATACATATTTGGTCATTCAGATAACCAAATATATATTTCCCAGGTTTATTTGGTCTTCATTCACAGTTGCTAAAAACACTACAGAGTCTTAAAGGTCAAATGAGTATTTCTTCATGTTAATGAGAGACTTTTGGACCCCCACCCAAGGGCAGGGGCTGGAAGTTTAATCAGCCAATGGCCAATAAATTAATGAATCATGACTATGCAATAAAGCCCTCACAAAACTCCCTGAGGAGAGCGTATTGGTCTACCGGATCCTGCTTCTCTGTGGAAGAGAGAGCTTCTACACTTGGGGAGCATCCATGTGCCACCAAGCCAGGCCCCAAACTCCCCAAGGACAGAAGCTCCTTTATTTGGGACCTTGCCCTACACATCTCTTCATCTTGCTGTTATAACTTGTATCCTTTATGGTATCCTTTATTAAACTGGTGAGTTCTGTGAGCAGCTCTAGCAAATTAATCAAATCTAAGAGGGAGGTCACTGGAGCCGCCAATCTGTAGCCGGTAGGTCAGAAGCACAGGTAACTGCCTGGGGCTTGTGGAGGACAGTCGTGTAGGACTGAGCCCTTAACCTGGGGAATCTGGTGTTGTCTCTGGGCAGACAGACTCAGAATTGAATTGAGCTCTCAGACACTCTGCTAGTGTTCGAGAATTGCTTGCTGTTGTGTGTCGGGGAAGACCCCCTTCCATCTCTGCGCACACAAACAGCTATGATACAATATAATGCATATTAGTACCAACTATACACCTTATCCAAGCCAGTAAAGGTCTTCAATTTCTAACCCTGTGCTCTTTCTACTACTGATGCAGTCTTTCTAGTACAACATCCATGTATGCTTCCAATATAGGAGAGACAGAAACAAAATAATTAGAAAGAAAAAAGTAACTTCTGATAATGAAGAGTGCTATGAAGGAAACAGTATGCTGTGACAGAAGAACATATCATTTTAAAAAGTATGATTTTTAAAAAGGGTGATTTACTGAAAGACAAAACATATAAATATTAATTATTCCATCAAAATGATTTCACCTGTTACTGCAATTAACATAGCTTATCAATTCTCCTACATAGGTAATACAAATCTCTCAGTTTCATTACTAAGAACTTCCATATTTCTATGTATATTATTTGGCTTTACATTGAGGAATTATTCCCTATTCTATCATGTTTTAGAATCGATTACAAATTCCTGTCAAACGGCCACTGTTACCTCCAGGTCTTGACCAGGCTGATGCAAATTCCTAGCCAATACCTTTTATTGCTAACTCCATCCAGGTCTCATATTACACTAAATTTCAAAGATCCTTCAATCTAAATACCATTGCCAGATACAACAAAAGCCAATAAACTACAGAATAAAGATAATAAAAAGAGGTCCCACATTCTATCATGACATGGCTTTACAGAAAATGGAATCTAGAATTCTTGGCTATTAACCAGCTGTTCTAATTCCTTGACCTCCTAGACCATTCTACAGCCTCCTCAGGCTCTTTTCAGCCTATAAATCACAGAAAGTCTCTCTCCCATCCTATTGGCCTGAAATCCTAATGTACAAAAGAGAGATTTTGCACAGAAAACATCTCACATAAGTCTGTTTCTCCTGGAATAAAATATCCTAAGACAGAATACACAAATAATTATGTAGAGATTTTCCTTTTGGTTTTGGTGAAGCACGGTTCTATGAGAAATACGATAATTCCATTAAAAACATCTTAGTTTAAACTACTATAGCTAATCATTTAGGGATCTGACAGTACTGAAACACAGAGAAAGGAGTACAGAGGAGTGGCAGGGGAGGGAAACGAACAAAAGTAGGATAGCAGCCAACTTGCAGACTTTATTATTTTGCCCAAGGTTTGCCATGATAACAGCCTCACTACCATGGAAAAGGCAACCTAGAAAGTAAAGAATATCCAGAATATGAAATTCATCAGAATAAAACTGTGCCCCATCCCCCAATCTCCAGGCCATTTTTGTAGTAGAAAGCCTAGAAATAGGCACCTTTGCTCCTCTCCACTTCACTCATCCTCCACTCATGAAGGTAGGTAATAACCTCATCTACTAGGACACTGTTCTGTATCTATTAAAAAAATATGTCTCAACAACTTAAGCCCTTCTAATCCTAACTACCAACTTACTAGATTCCAAACTTACTCTAATCCTAATATTTATTTTCTAAATGTAAAGCCAAATAATACCAACAGAAATACAGAGGTTCTTAAAAATGAAACTGGGAGAAAAATTAAATATAATTTTAATTTTTAATCAGCCAAGTTAAATAGAGTATTAACATTCTGAAAATAAGCAATGAACCTACTTCTTACTTATCCTCCAAAAATACATATCCACTGGGAGGAAGACATGGAAACGGCAAACCATTCATATTATCTGTACCGAATCTTTAACTGTGTCCATCCTTCTAGATTCATCCTTGCAGAATGAATATTCCTAGAAGCCCATAAGGCAAACTCAACTTTTTCATTTTATCTCTCTATACTATTTGAATTTTTTTATCATGTATTAATATTAATTCTGTAAAGCTAGTTCCTTTTTAAAGTAAATTCAAGATAATGTGAACAGATGATCATGTAAAGTAAAACATACCTGTTAGTTAACTATTTGGATACACTATAGCAAGCATTAATATTAAAAACAATAACTGCTTCATAACCAAAAGAATATGGTCAATACCACAATGATGGTAGCACTTATCTCTAGGTGATAAAATCACTCTCTGTTTTTATTTTCTTCTTTTTCTTATTTTCTGAATTTTATTTGAAAAACCTACGTTACCTACAAAACCCAAAAAAAGCAACAAAATGCTAAATTGAAGGGAAAGACTGTTTCCCAAAAAGAAAGACAAATGAAAGTTATTTTGACATATTCTCAAATAAAAGTAAAATACAATAAATTACTAAAAAGCCTATCATGTTGAAATAATATTATATTCACCTAATGTTAAGATCAAGTTGTTGTATCTGTCCCATTCCACGTCGCCACAGGTATCTTTTAAGTCACCACAACTAAAATGTAGATGAAGAGCACTATAATTGCCACTCTGACATTCAGAAACTTCTCATAAAAATTAATTCCAACCTGTATCATCTTCAAAATAACATTGAAAAACTAAAATATGCAAACAGCACCTTGAAGAGATACCTGCATTGTATCTCTTCTTTTCCAGAACCTCAGTACAATCGAGAGATAAACGGATAAAGAAGAAATGTATTACACAGCTAAGAATACTAGCAAAACAAGAACTACACAATGTTTAAAACATGCTTATTTCGCTGTTAGGTCTGAAATTCACACTCCCAAGAATGCAAACCTTCTCTAACAATAAAGCAATATTCTTCAGCCATTAGGGTTATTTGTATAACTGTTTTTAGAAGTCTGACTTACCGAGTACCATCTGCTTTCCAGCTTACTTTATATGGCTTCTGCTCCAAAAGTTTAATATTTTGCTTGTCCATGGAAACAGGCTGTGCTCCAGGGAATCCAGACCTTAAAGAGGAACATTTTATTACTATCATGGCTGGTATCCATACAAAGCAATACATGTCTTAAACCAATCTCAGCATGAGTCACACATTTATCACAATGTTCTCCCTATCAAGAGATTAATGTCAACTGGAATAATACCAGCTTTCAAAGAATGCGAACAAAAGGTTATTGTTTTCTTGACATCTTAGAACACAGGAAACTAACTAACTATAATTAATCAGTTAAATAACTGCCACTGCTATACTATAACTACTGGGCTAATTTTTAAATATTAATACACATGATATGCAAATATGTTTTTTCAAGATTTTTACTTAAGGAGGAAGTTTAAATCTTGCTTTAATTATCTTACATTATTCTAGACCCCATAGTCCTACTTCATGTTCTGCCAACTTGGCATAACTCTACAGGGTTGGCATGTTTCTGCTCAAAAGATGCCCAGAAGTGACAAAACAGGAAAAATATAAGTCAAGATTAAAGTGTACTGGCAAGAGTTTAACACGATACTAAAATCATCTTTAGTTAAAATTATTTACTTCATCACCTTCTTCAATATTACTTCATTATCTTTTAGTAAAAATTATTTCTCCTGATCGATCTGTATATACCAGTCAGAAAGTTCTTTATATTAGGAATATTTAGCAATTAATAATCCTGTTTTTTATGTTCTAACTATATTAGAATTTTCTGCCACAGATGGCAATGATCAACAGAAATGACCATATATCAAGACGCAAAGACAACAGAGTAGTGAACTCTCGCCTGAATCCTCTCCCGTGATGTCTGATATTTGTAATCATGGTAGGAGACAGAACACACTTAAAGCTGACTCTCCCAAGTTTCTCATTACAGAAAAACTAGAAAATGAGACACATTAAAGTTTCATCTCTTCTTTCTTAATAAAATAAGGGCTACCCAAACACCAATCAGCAACTATGGAATCAAACATGAAAAACAAAATAGATGGTGACCACAGTAACTTTCTACTCCTTTAGGAAGACATGTAAGCCATCTAATTTTGAGTCACCTGTCTAGCTATCTAATCTTGACTCAACTAACTCTGACTGCCTCTCTTGAGAAAAAGCTGATAAACTCTTGCATGACATCTTTTTAGTCAACAAAGAAGCCATGTCGATGTTTGCATTGATGTTAAGTGTTACAGATTAAGAATAAATTTTATTTAAAACTTTAAAGTATTTATTACCCTTCCCAGCCACAGAATTGATGACACTTCTGCTGTACCTCTCCTAACTTTGGTTGAGTTGTTACTTGAGTTACACCTTTAACAGTTACACCTTCCAAGAAAATGGCACCCTTAAAATAAAAGGAAAAGAGAAATATTTTATTAGAGTTGAAATCCATTTAGAAAACTGGACTGAAAAAAAGATATGTTTATTTTCACAAATCTGAGCAAACACGTGAAATAGAAATGGTCTGTTGTAGGAGGCTCTATAAACTCCTATGGGAGCACACAACAGATTTTTAATCCAGCATATGATTTTCAGCATACATATATAGCCCAGTGTCCGTGTCATGTTGCCAAAGTACTCCATGGGCACTACTCAGTGATCATAACAGCAATAATTTATCTACCACCACTCAGAGCTAAGCAAAGTATCTGGCATTTTCTCTAATCCTTATAACAATGCTGAAAGGTAGATTATATTTGTTTCATAAATAAATAAATGAGGAATAAAGACAGAATGCATATTATTCAAATGGTAAAAATAAAACTTGAATGCAGGTCTACACTATACCACTCACCAAATGATTCTGATTTAGGGAAGAAGATGAGAGTTGTATCAGTGATGGAGTAAGGATATAAAGGAGATAAACACATACAATGTATATCTTTGTAAACTAGAATATGAATCTAACAGTAGACAAAGTGGCTAAGCTACAGTCATTGGGTGTATCAACATAAAAACTAAATATTTTTCATCAATGAATTTTTAATTCAAATTCTGTAAGTCAGAACTATACAAAATGTCTCACTGTATTTCATAGTAAGCATATTTAAAAATATCACAGAGAAGTGAAGCAAATGGAGAATTTACTTACCAAATATTTAAAAAACACTCCTAGAAATCTTAAACACTAAAGAAATGATCTACTGATATTCCAATTACCTACAGACATCAGTCTCAAGAAAAATCATAAAGCAACTCCAGCTATTATGTAATTAGGGAATAAAAAAATATGGTCTATAAACCTTCTGGCAAAGATTTGACAACGTGAGCTACTTGGGAAGTTTAAAAAAAAAAAGGACATTTAATATTTAGTTCACGTACATACTTTTTGCCCCTTATTCTGAGTCAAATTTATAGTGATCTAATATTTGCCTACTTTTTTTTCCTTAAATAAGCATACCTTAGAGATTGAATGAGCCAAAGGATTAAAGAGTACCACTCCTCTATTATACCATAACCTCTCTTTTCCCACCAATGAAATGTCTTAAGAATCATTTCTGCCATCACAAAGTAAAAGAAAGAATGAATGAAAGAAAAAAACCTTTTTAAAGGAAAGCTAACTAGGGAAATAAGGTTTTTTTTAACAAATTTAGTTGGTGAAATATTCAGATAACTTCAATATCTTTAGAGAAGGCACTCAGAGAATTCAATATTCAGTATCTCTATTCATAAATTACTAATAGCATAGGATTTTTTTTGTAACTTTTACATGAGGAAGGTATCTAGCTTCATTTCTGAGAAGCAAATTAGTATTAACATATCCTAAAAATATAAACATTACTTCTTTAACAAATAATAAAATGGACTGGAACATAGGAAATACAGTCAACATTCAGTCAAGAGCTTTCCCAAAACATTGCTACAGAATTTTTTTTCAATTCCTTTATATATTTTTTTATTAAGGTATCACTGATATACAATCTAATGAAGGTCTCACATGAGCAATATTGTGGTTACCACATTCACCCATATTATCAAGTCACCCCATACCACACTGCAGCCACTGTCCATTAGCATAGTAAGATGCTATAGAATCACTACTTGTCTTCTCTGTGCTATAGTGCCTTCCCCGCCACCCCCCACATTATGTGTGCTAATCATAACTCCCCTTAACCCTTCCTCCTGACCCACCCTCCTCAATCCATTCCCTTTAGTAACCCCTAGTCCCTTCTATGGAGTCTGTGAGTCCACTGCTGCTTTGTTCTTTCAGTTTTGCTTCGTTGTTATACTCCACAAATGAGGGAAATCATTTGGTACTTGTCTTTCTCTTCTGCCCTATTTCACTGAGCATAATACCCTCTAGCTCCATCCATGCTGTTGCAAATAGTAGGATTTGTTTTCTTCTTATGGCTGAAAATATCCCATTGTGTGTATGTACCACATCTTTATCCACTCATCTATAGATGGACACTTAGGTAGCTTGCATATCTTGGTTATGGTACACAGTGCTGTAATAAACATAGGGATACATATGTCTATTTGATTCTGTGATCTTGTTTTCCTTGGGTAAATTCCTAAGAGTGGAATTCCTGGGTCAAATGGTATTTCTACTTTTGGTTTTTTGAGGAACCTCCATAATGTTTTCTACACTAGTTGAACTAATTTACAATCCCACCAACAGTGTAGGAGGGTTCCCCATTCGCCACATCCTCGCCAGCATTTGCTGTTGTTTGTCTTTTGGATGTTGACCATCCTAACTGGTGTGAGGTGATATCTCATTGTGGTTTAAATTTTCATTTCCCTGATAATTAGTGATGTGGAGCACCTTTTCATGTGCCTGTTGGCCATCTGAACTTCTTTGAAGAAGTGTCTGTTCACTTCACCCGCCCATTTTTTAATCGGGTTATTTGCTTTTTGGGTGTTGAAGCATGTGAGTTCCTTATATATTTTGGATGTTAACCCCTTATCAGATATGTCATTTATAAATATATTCTCCCATACTGTAGGATGCCTTTTTGTTCTGATGGTTTCCTTTGTGCCACAGAAGCTTTTTTAGTTTGATGCAGTCCCGTTTCATTTTTTATTTTGTTTCCCTTGCCAAGGAGATGTGTTCAGAAAAAAGTTTCTCATGTTTATAGTCAAGAGATTTTTGCCTGTTTTCTTCTAAGAGTTTTGCAGTTTCATGACTCACAATCAGGTCTTTGATCCATTTCGAGTTTATTTTGTGTATGGAGTTACACAATAATCGTTTCATTCTCTTACATGTTGCTGTCCAGTTTTCCCAACACCAACTGCCAGCTGTGGAAGAGGCTGTCATTTCCCCATTGTGTATCCATGGCTCCTTTATTGTATATTATGACTATATATGTTCATGTTTATATCAGGGCTCTCTATTCGGTTCAGTTGATCTATGGCTCTGTTCTTGTGCCAGTACTAAATTTTGATTACTGTGGCTTTGTGGTAGAGCTTGAAGTTGGGAAGCATAAGCCCCCCAGCTTTATTCTTCCTTCTCAGGATTGCTTTGGCTACTCAGTCTTTTGAGTTGCATATGAATTTTAGAACTATCTGTTCTAGTTCACTGAAAAGTGCTGTTGGAATTTTGATAGGGATTGCATTGAATCTGTAGATTGCTTTAGGCAGGATGGCCATTTTAACAATATTAATTCTTCCTATCAATGAGCATGGGATGTATTTCCATTTATTGATGTATAATTTCTCTTATCAGTGTCTTATAGTTTTCAGGATACAGATCTTTCACCTCCTTGGTTAGGTTTATTCCTAGGTATCTTATTTTATTGATCCAATTATGGATGGAATTGTTTTCCTGATTTCTCTGCTTGTTCATCATTAGGATATACAAATGCAACAGATTTCTGTGTGTTAATTTTGTATCCTGCAACTTTGCTGAATTCAGTTATTAGTTCTAGTAGCTTTGGGGTGGATTCTTTGGGTTTTTTTGTGTACAACAGCATCTCACCTACAAACAGTGACGGTGTAACTTCTTTCTTAGCAATCTGGATGGCTTTTAATTCATTGTGTTGTCTGACTGCTGGGGCTAGAACCTCCAGTACTATGTTGAATAAAAGTGGTAAAAGTGGGCAACCTTGTATTGTTTCCGATCTTAAAGGGAAACCTTTCAGCATTTCGCTATTAAGTATGATGTTGGCTGTGGGTTTGTCATATATGACCTTTATTAGGTTGAGGTACCTGCCCTCTATACCCATTTTGTTAAGAGTTTTTATCATGAATGGAAGTTGAATTTTGTCAAATGTTTGTTCAACATTTATGGAGACGATTATGTGGTTTTCGTCCTTGGTTTTGTTCATGTGGTGGATGATATTGATTGATTTATGAATATTTTACCATCCTTGTATCCCTGAAATAAATCCCACCTGATCATGATGGATGATCTTTGATGTATTTTTTAATTCAGTTTGCTAATGTTTTATTGAGTATTTTTGCATCTATGTTCATCAGGGATATTGGCTTGTAATTTTTTTTGTGGTGTCTTTGCCTGGTTTTGGTATTAAAGTGATACTAGCCCCACAGAATGAGTTTGTATGTATTCCCACCTCTTCTACTTTTTGGAAAATGTTAAAGAGAATGGGTATCAGGCCTTCTCTAAATGTTTGATAAAATTCAGCGGTGAAGTCATCTGGTCAACGGGTTTTGTTCTTAGGTAGGTTTTTGATTATCAGTTTGATTTCATTGCTGGTAATTGATCTGTTCAGATTTTCTATATCTTCCTGTGTAAGCCTTGGAAGGTTGTATTTTCTTTAAAGTTGTCCATTTTTTGTAGGTTATCCCATTTGTTGGATATAATTTGAGCATGCAATTTTTCATAGTATTCTCTAATAATTCTATTTCTGTGGTGTCTGTGGAGGGCAAGATGTGATGTCATCCCAGACGTGACATCACCGGTGATATCACCAGAAGTTAGATCACCAGAAATGGAAGTAACATCATTATGAGCTTGTGTATATAAGTGGTACTCAGAAAATAAACTACGTCACTTGTCCACCATTCGTGGGCAGTGAACCAACCTCCTGATCCCAGCTTTGGTTTCTGTGTCTTTTTCTGTATTTTCCTCACTGTATTTTCCTCAAGCTCCTCATCCACTCCACTCAGGTTCAGCTGGTTTGTGGAGCTGGTTTCTGCAGGTGGCGTCCGAACAGGGACCTGAGGACCTGAGAAGAGTCAGGTCTCATGTGCATGGCTGGCACTATCAGTGAGAAGCGGCTCCTATTGGTGAACAGACGCGTGTCTATAAGGTACAGACTTGGTGAAGTCCTAGAGGTAGTACGGGACTAGTAGCATCAGGAGTAAAACTTGGGATAGCAAGGGTCAAAGGACTGTCAGACTCTCAAATTTTTGTTTGTACGTTTTAAGCTATAGCTATGGGTC